ATCTGTGTCTGGGACAGGTCTATAATTTCTGAGACCCTTAGATAAGAATTTCTAGGGGGTTCCCTTAATCAGTGAAAAGAGGAAGAAACAGACCTCATGGCTCTATGAGGTGTGCTTCCAACCCAACATTCACTTAGAATATGGTGTCCTCCAGATGTTTTTGGACTGTCACTCACATCAGTTCCAGCCAGCATGGCCAGTGGTCAGAGACGATGGGGGTGACTCCCCAGCAATATCTAAAGGGCACCATGCCACCCTTACACTATTCCCTGCAAATGTATTCCACATTCTATCCATCTGATAAACTATCACCATTAAGTGGTGATAATTGGGAGACACATATGTCTCGGCGATATGATGTGCCTTTTAGTAATTATAGTACATTTCTGAGCACAATTCAAAATGTTGGTGCTGAGCTTTAAAGCCCTAAATGGCCTCGGCCCTGTTTACCTGAAAGAGCGTCTCCACCCCCATCATTCAACCTAGATACTGAGGTCCAGCTCCGAGGGCCTTCTGGCTGTTCCTTCACTGTGAGAAGTGAAACCACAGGGAACCAGGCAAAGGGCCTTCTCTGTAGTGGCACCCATCCTGTGGAATGCCCTCCCATCAGATGTCAAGGAGATGAGTAGCTATATAACCTTTAGAAGACATCTGAAGGCAGCCTTGTATAGGGAAGCTTTTTAATGCTTAATGTTTTATTATGTTTTTATATGTGTTGGAAACTTCCCAGAGTAGTGGTGGGCTACAAATTATTATTATTATTATTTACAGTTTGGGAGAGCCGTTTTAGAAGTCAACTTCCCCACTGGCTGGTCCTAAATCTGCAAGTGACACTAAGCCAGGCATAGGCAAACTCGGCCCTCCAGTTTACCGGACTACCCTTTGTTTTGGGGGAAGGTGATGGCGCTTCCTTCTCCCCCATCATCTGCATAACAATAGAACAATACCCCTACCAATGCCTAACTGCTAATACCGCAGAGTTGTGACGGATTGCTACGAGGTAGGCGAAAACCAAGTGGCTGGTGCCAATCTGCCAAACGGAAAAATTCCTACCAGGCCCCTTGACGGCGACCGACCAGAGTCCATAGCAACGTCTGAGAGCCTAGCCTAACGGGTGGGTTGGGAGGGAAAACCTGGCTAGAAGCTGCGTGGCAAAGAGGAAGACCCTCGGCCGCGCCAGACCTAAATGCGGCTAGGCCACGCCCCCCAGCCCAGTCGATTGGCTGGGCCGGGGATGACGCGTCCGGTGATTCCCTGGGTTATCACGGGCTGAAGGCAGCCCCGCGAGGGTGGTGGGGTGGGCGTGAAGCCCGCAACCCCACCTCCTTCCTAGCTTGGAAGTGGCTTTGTTAGCTGGCGCTGATGGGAGCTGGAGTCCAGCGACATCTGCAGGCCACCATGTTGCCTATCCCTGAGTTGCTATTTTTAACACATCAGACATGGCACAAGATTTGGAGCATAACAACGGATTTGAGTATCTGTAGGAGACACGTGTTTGCTTCCGTACGTCCCCATGCTTTTGCAACTCAGGCTGTCAGAACATTTCCCCCCCAGCTCTAAAGCCCTTGCCGTTGGACTAGCAAGGTGCTGCTATATTAATAGAAGACGGGAAGCAATAAGTTTTATCAAAATGGAAGCAATCAAATCTCTGCCCTTCTCTGCAGTTTGCTTATCTGCCTTTACCCTGGAGAGTGCTGCAGGGTTATTTTTCTGCTCCAGTTATTTAGGGAGAGTTATGTGGAAGCAGAGAGCCTGGCAGCTGGGCCTGGAAATGGTGATGGTTTGTTTTTTGCTATTCTTGAATTCTATAGGGAAGGACTCCCTGATCCTTATTTGTTAATGGAATCACCAGGGTTTTCCTTATAAGGAAGATAACCTTAAATAGCTTATGGAGAAAAAGGTGTATAAGAAAATTTGTGTGACTCCTCCACAGTGTACTTGGATGTCCTCCCCACATTGCACTGCAGATACAAATGAGGATGTGGAATGAATGAATGAATCTTTATTTGCATCAGCCATCGGCCATAGCAACAAAACAACAATAGGATAGACAAAGAATAGAAATAAAAAGTCAATTGTATAAAACACATTATAGGGTTTTGGATCAATAGTCAAATAGTGGAATATTATTCTGATTGCCCCAGCTAAAAACCTTGCAACCTTTGCTGTCACCTGCTCCTTTTGATCTGCCAAGAGAAAGGACACTGTGGCAGTGGTTGAGTGACCTGGAATGGACAATAAAAGAGGGATGATAACCTCATTCCTGAAGTCTTTATAAAGTGTGCAAGCCAGAAGGGCATGTTCCACCAATTCGGTACTGCCATCTCCACAGGGACATAAGCATTTTTTGTGTGGAATCTGTTGGAATCGTCCCTCAAATACAGCTGAGGGCAATACATTCAATCTTGCGAGAGTAAAAGCGTGTCTATATTTTAGAATTGCTAGGTTATGCAGGTAGGGTTCCAGAGAGTCAAAATGGGTAGGTGGAAAATAGTCATACCGTGGGCAAAATTTCCTTCTTGTGGCCAAGTTGTTCTGACGCTTGATATCATTTAGGCACTGACAAATTAGACTGTCTGCTTGACTAGAGCCCAAAGTGAGTAGCTGTTGTGGTGATAAAGCACAAGAGTGAAGTTTCTGATAGACAATTTTAGTCCAGGCGCTCATGTGACAATCTTGCAAATTACAGGATTGTTTCCTGGGTAGTAGAAACATGGGGCAACCCTTACTAGTCAGTTTCTTTTGGAAGAGAAACTACACTGCAGATTTGTTATCCTAACCCTGGCAGGGCTGAATAGAGTTGGGGGGGGGGTACCACCATGTCCACATCCCTGCTGCAGGTGGAAGATAGAGGGGACTGGCAGATTATTCTGTCATTCTGGAGCTGGTGCAGTGATCCAGCCTACAACCAGCCCAATGCTGTAATCTCACAACATCAGGGCCACCTCACAATCTGTTGGATTCCAACCCACCTCAGTCCTTCTCATAGACACCGGAAGGGAGCCCTGTTTCGGCAAGATTTTAATGTTCAATGTTTTGTTGTGAAGCCATAGGATGGAGTACAAAATGTTGTTGTTGTTGTTATTCCCTTTTCTTTTTTTGCATTTTTATTAGTATACATTTTTATTAGTTTTTTTAACATATCATTTCCAACAATCATATAACATAACTTCTTATCTTATACAATATTTTAGACTTCCATCAACACCTCTGATGATTTTCCGTTCTTTATCACTTATTCTGCATTTCTTAATTTCTCTTACTTATTATTAACTAATAATTCTCCTCAGAGTATTTCTTGCAATATTCCAAATAATCATCCTTACAAAACTTCTTGCAATCTTACTAGTGTAATCTGTTCATTACAATTACTTTTGAAATAGTTCATATATTTACTCCAGTCTTCTAAGAATCTCTGGTTCCACAGATTTTGAACCCTTCCTGTTAATTTATCCAATTCTGCATAGTCCATCAATTTCATCCGCCATTTTTCTTTTGTTGGTAATTCTTCTTGCTTCCATTTTTGCGCCAATTATTATTCCCTTTTCAGAACACCCTGTTCCAATACCTTCTGCTGGTTTCTGACAATGAGCATACCACTGTTGGCACTTCCACCCACCCACACATCTGGCAACTGGAAAGGACAGGTGTCATTGCTTTCTCTCCACAGGTGGGAGCTGGCAGGAGACCATCAGCAGCCATCAGGGTGATTGGATGGATATCTCTGCTCCATTCACCCCCACACCACCCTGGACAAAGGAGGATTGCTCTGAAAAATCCTACTCTTATTTATTTGCATATATACAGATATTGCAGAGAGTCCAAGAGCAGTCACACAAACACTGTTAAGGTCCCAGCCAGCAATAAAATTTCAGTTCCCTCAGAGAACTCTGTTTTTCAAAAAGTTGTTATATTTTCAAGAGTTATCTGAGACAGCTCATAGTGTGGTTGTTCCTGGGAGGTGGTCCTTGCCCACCTGACCTGGAGACCTCCCTTTCCCCAAGCAGACATTTTCTTGTGAAGGAGGAAACTAGCAGCAGAGAGATCAGACTCCTGATTTCCAATGCCTTTGCGGCCTTGTTCTAAGGCATGGACAATTGTATGTACTGTCTGGAGCATCCATTGCTCCTGAGATATGTGGGAATTGTAGTTTCCAGTGTCTCCTGGGCTACGGGACCGTGTGTGTGTGTGTGTGTGTGTGTGTGTGTGTGTGTGTTAGAAGCTACAATTTCTATCCATCCCTGAGCAAGGATGGGGCATTTTAGGCTCTCAACATTACCAGATACAGTAGCCAGTTCCACCAACTCCTGCCCTCTTCATAAGGATGAGAGTGGTTGAGAAAGATTAGCCTGCCAATTACCAATTGAACCCAAAACTCAGAGAAGCTTGAGCCCAGCTAAAAATGGGCTGGGGAGGAAGTGGAATCCTTAAATTAAATACTACAAGACCCTGAATTCTGAACTATTCATAATATAAAGCAATAAGGTTTTGTGATCATTACAAGATGAGTGGCAATCTGTGTATTTTCTCTGGAATCCTACACATGCCTGTATCGTGTCTTCTTCTTTTTAAGCTGATGTCCTTACAAGAAGATATGAATCATCTGTGACCAAAAATAATGAAACGTGGGGCTGGCAGTGCCAGAGCTCAGCCTTTGGTGTGTTCATCTCTTCTGAATCTCTCCTGTAAAACTGACAAGCTGAAGCGGCGGCCTCACAGATCACTGGCAAGCCTCCAGTGAGAAGAGTGTCAGCATGCAAATGCCAAATAAATTTAAACAGTTCCTAAAGAGGAAAGGAGTCAGATGATAGCTGCCCTAGCTCCTACCCCAAAACATGCAAGCAGAGGCTCTTACTTGTAAGTAAGAAAGAGATCTTTATTCAGGCAAGTCATGGTCCAGGCTCAGCAGCCAACACAGGGCTCAGGAGTCACAGTTAAGGAGCAGGGCAAGAACTTCAGAACAGGACAGAAGCAACCAATGTGCTCCAACAAGTTTCCACGTCCCACCTGCCAAGCTTTTAAAGACAAGACATGGCATACTCACTCACAAGACTTGATCGCCTTGTGAGAATATTAAGATTGCAAGTGTGCGTTCCATTCAGAGAGGGTAGGTTGCTCCCATCTGCAAAGGCAACATCTGGTTCTAGGCTCTGCCCTCTTTTTCAGACTCCAGTTCTATCACTGCTATCTCTGGTTCTGCCACCACCACCACTGAGCTGCTCCAAGCCCTTTTTAGACCCCACTAAGACTCCATGATCTAAAGGAAAGTTGTGCTGGGGGAAATGGCATCTCTGCTCTCCCTTCTGAAGCAGTCCAAGTTGGGGTGGAAATGGGAGATTCCTCACTCCAACCCAGCCCCCTTCCCTTTTCTTCCTCCTCCTGCATCAGAGCCTGCCAATCTAAACCAGATCCTGACAGTGGCGTGAGGCTCATAACTATAGCCCTGTGGAGTGTCAGGATCGAGGAAGAAAGTCTTATGAAGCAAGGCTTAGGTTGGGTACAGAGGTTCGTAATTGTGGATCCGCTTAGTTGAATCATTTTGAATTCCAAACTTGTTTGAGGACCACATTTGAAGGATATGTTCCTTTTACCTCACTCCTACATTTTAAAACCATTCATAGTACAATCCTGTATCTGTCTATTTAGAAGTCCCATTGAGCTGAACAGGATTGTAGCCTCAAGATATCTTACTCTGAATTTCTGTTTAAAAGATCTAACTTTAGACATAATAATATGTCTTTATACTTATCCATGGGTAAGTATAATTTTCAGTTATTATGGGTTCATTTACTGTTTGTTGATGGTCATAACAAAGGCTAGTTGTGTGGGAAATTGCCTTCATTGCAACTGAAAGGAAAAGAAAACTCTGAAGAGGATTCTGTTTTGGCAAGTCCTACAAGATTTCCAGTTGCTTCTCCTGCAATAACCTTGAGATCCAGGCTGTTCTTGAATGTGTTCAAAACTTATAATCAAGCTGCATTTGGGGGGTGAATATTCCTTAATGCTATCACCACTCACAATTGCTCTTTTTGATGTGATTTTATGCAGAGGTAACTCAGTATCTCCTAAAGTACTGGCAAATTCTGTTGGGTTTTTCATGTGGTCCCCACCCACCGGCACCTGTCATTATCTGGCCTACACTGTAATTGGTTTCACATGGCCCTTTCATTTGTGAAATGATATTGCTATTAACTTCGCCACTGAGCTCATTCCGAGGAGCAAGAATAGTAGACATGGAACGCGTGATGTTGGATTCTTCTGAGAATTCCATTTGGTACCCTGTAGTTGTTACATCAGATGTTAAACCACATCTCTGGAACTCTCATTGCACTGCTTGATATCGATCTGTTTATAGCCACAATTCCATTTCTTACTGTAAAGACATATTTTGCAAATCTTCTCTCTGAATCTACTCTCCTATTTTCTGTCATTTTACATCCTTTGAACATGGGCCAAACTGAAGTGTTTTTCAAACAATTGTTGATTAGACTCTGCCTTACGGAACTGAATACAACTGGTCATATATATTTTTCAGAAATCTCCATCGTGTAAGAGAACACCCCTACCCCCACTGCCACCAAAAAGGGAAATATATTGTATTCCTGAAACTATCAGTTGCCGTGCGATCAGTGGAAGCATTGATGGTGAGCACTGCATTTTGCATATGGTTCGGTGCAATATTGTCTGAAGATTGTGTCATTTGTTGTTGTTGTTGTTTAGTCGTTTAGTCGTGTCCAACTCTTTATGACCCCAGGGACCAGAGCATGCCAGGCACTCCTGTCTTCCACTGTCTCCCACAGTTTGGTCAAATTCATGTTGGTAGCTTCAAGAACACTGTCCAACCATTTCATCCTCTGTCGTCCCCTTCTCCTTGTGCCCTCCATCTTTCCCAACATCATGGTCTTTTCCAGGGAGTCTTCTCTTCTTATGAGGTGGCCAAAGTATTGGAGCCTCAGCTTCAGGATCTGTCCTTCCAGTGAGCACTCAGGGCTGATTTCCCTAAGAATGGATAGGTTTGATCTTCTTGCAGTTCATGGGACTCTCAAGAGTCTCCTCCAGCACCATAATTCAAAAGCATCAATTCTTCGGCGATCAGCCTTCTTTATGGTCCATCTCTCACTTCCATACATCACTGCTGGGAAAACCGTAGCTTTAACTACACAGACCTTTGTTGGCATGGTGATGTCTCAGCTTTTTAAGATGCTATCTGGGTTTGTCATTGCTTTTCTCCCAAGAAGCAGATATCTTTTAATTTCGTGACTGCTGTCACCATCTGCAGTGATCATGGAGCCCAAGAAAGTAAAATCTCTCACTGCCTCCATTTCTTCCCATTCTATTTGCCCGGAGGTGATGGGCCCAGTGGCCATGATCTTCATTTTTTTGATGTTGAACTTCAGACCTTATTTTGCGCTTTCCTCTTTCACCCTCATTAAAAATTTTCTGTTAAAACAAGAAATGATTTAAATTCAGTTATACAGCTCTTCCTAACAGTCCTGCTCTCGTAGTATAAGCTACAGCCTTGCCTTGTATTCCTTAGCTAGGCAATATAGGTAAGGAAAATGACCCCTGGACGGTTAAGTCCAGTTGAAGGTGACTATGGAGTGTGGAGCTCATCTCGCTTCAGGCCGTGGAAGCCGGCATTTGTCCACAAACAGCTTTCCGGGTCATGTGGCCAGCATGACTAAACCACTACTGGTGCACAGAGGACAGTGACGGAATCCAGAGCACACGGAAACACCGTTTACCTTCCCCCTGCTGCGGTACCTACTTATCTACTTGCACTGGCATGCTTTCAAACTGCTAGGTTGTCCGGAGCTGGGACAGAGCAATGGGAGCTCACCCCGTCATGGGGATTTGAACTGCCAAGAGAGAGAGAAAGAGAGAGAGAAAAAGAAAGGGAGAGAGAGAGCATTAACAAAGTTTCATCCACAGAAGCCCCCAGGAGCAGCCAAAAATATGTTTTTGTTCTACTGTCACAGCAATCAATTGCATGAAGTATTTCTGCCCCGGTTATTTCCTATTATTCTGGACTCTCCTATTCAGTCCAACATATAGGTCAGCCTTTGACTCAATTTTCTTCTTTATTCGCTAGATCAAATTTTATGTGCTGGGCAGCACCATAGAACCATTTGTTAAACTATGTGCTTCCAAGATTTGCTTTGTGTGAGCTCAAAGTCTAAACTGCCTTCTTGAGCTTTGGCTTGATTTTAATGGTGATTTCTACTCATGGTCATATTTGAAAACAATAGGTTCAACCACTGATTGGAAATCAATGGGATGTGGCTTATTCACTCCCCACCCCACAATTTTGATTTGGTTTTAATAATATAATGTTACTGATTATATTTTATTTTATTGCATTACTTTTAAAAAAAGTATTTTATGCACTATGTTTTATTTGTATTTCATAATTCATCACAGAAATGAAAAGCAGCATATACCTCTTCTAAATAAATTAATAAAGTTAATCATGAGCAACTTGAATCACATTTATTTTAATGGGTCTGTTCTAAGAATGATTATGTCTGCAACCTTGAACCGACTTACCTGTGAGTAACCTTCATTGAATTCAATAGGACTAACTTCTGAGTGGTCATAGTTAGGGCAGGTGTTTTTTTTTCTGGGGGGATGCAAGAAGTACGCATACCCCTAAACATTTTGTGAATCTTTGTACTTTTGCCCATTTACTGTATTTATTTTCCCTGATTTGAACTACAGTGGTACCTCAGGTTAAGTACTTAATTCCTTCTGGAGGTCCGTTCTTAACCTGAAACTGTTCTTAACCTGAAGCACCACTTCAGCTAATGGGGCCTCCTGCTGCTGCCGTGCCGCCAGAGCATGATTTCTGTTCTCATCCTGAAGCAAAGTGCTGAACCTGAAGCACTATTTTTGGGTTAACAGAGTCTGTAACCTGAAGCGTATGTAACCCGAGGTACCACTGTATAAAGTGGTGGTTTTCTTGAGTCAAAATGAGAGTACCCCTAAACATGATTTTTTTAGAAAAAAAAGCCACTGGCTTGGACTGCACTGTATGTCTGGATCCAACCCAATATGCTCCATACCTTGGTGGAGGTTTTTAAATTGTCTCCCAAATATACAAAAGAAAAGTGCACCATTGTGCTGCTGAAGATTGTCTAAGAACTGCTGTGAAAGAGGATGCTCGCCAGTTTAAAAATCCCGTGAAAATCCTGGGCACTGTACTAAAGGGAAAGTGACCTTTTCCTTATGACAGCACGTTATGTAATGAATGCCACTTTTCTCACACCTTAATGTTTGCCTGATCAGTGTTGACACATACATATTAAATTGCCTATACCAAAATGTATGACGTGTTTGACACTCTAAAATGCTCTGGGCCTTTTAGCACATAAATGCATATTACATGCTTCAGCTACACTCACGATAAATTGACACAAGGCTGTTTTCTCTCCCTTTCTCTCTCTCTTTCTCCCCTTTAGATGAACACACGGCTGTTCATGTGTCTCTTTGTTCTGCTCCCAATGAAGATGATGATGATAAGTAAGCATTTATATTGCATTTTCAAATAGTCAAAGCTCTTTGTATAGTTCATCTTCTTGAGACCCTCTTAAGTCAAGTCATTCTCCCCATACTACAAATGGGGAGCTGGATGGATTGCCCAAAATCATCTAGTGAGTATTGAGCAAAGGTGAGATTAAATCGCAACCATGATTTCCTGATTCAGGGCCAACATACACATCAAGGGGAGATCAAGGTGAGTTTTCAACTTCAGGGGAGAGGTTTTCCTGTCCTCTGGAAATTCCTGTGGAATTTGCATTAGTGTGAAAATACTGGATTCTGCTTATAGTAAACTAGTGAAGCACCCATGACCCTGTGGAGAAAACAGCTATGATAAGCACAGACGTACAATAAAATCATATATTATAATAGTATTGAATGCATTGGCGATGAGAATATTGGATTTTATTGTAATAACTGGCTGGTATCTTAATTTCGATCTCAACCATTCTTAGATGTTTAATTCAAATGAACAATTTTTAAATGATTTTATATGCCAAGACTATTTCCCTTTTCATTTTCCCCAAAAAGAAACAGACAGATACTTCTCTTTTCTTTCTTTGCAACTAAGCATGCGGGGAAAATGCTGCTATGAATCAGGAGTAATATTAGGTAAAAAAATACTATAGACCTTAGAAGGATATTGAGGGGAAGAGGTTAGAAAACAAGAAAACCAGACTTTCTAAGTCTTAGCTATGGAAAACCTTTACCAGACCTTTAAAAAAGTTATTGCTTTGTTGTATATTTGTGAACTTTTAACAAAATTGGATTTATTGTTGTATACTACCTTGAAACTCATGTGAAAGGCAGTATATGTAAACAGAGGTTTTTATGATTAAGTGGTGCACAGATCCAAAAGAATAATAGAAATATATAAACTTGGGGGACAATGAGCAGCTCATTCATTGTCATATGGAGCTCATATACAAAATGAATATGATATTTTGACCATTGACAGAAGTTTGAAATATGGTAGATATATTCTCAGGTATAGCAATCCTATCCATGTTTGCTTTGAAATAAGCATCTTAAAAAGCAGAGACCTCACCTTGCTGACAAAGGTCTGTACAGTGGTACCTCAGGTTACATATGCTTCAGGTTACATACGCTTCAGGTTACACACTCCACTAAGCCAGAAATAGTGCTTCAGGTTAAGAACTTTGCTTCAGGATGAGAACAGAAATTGGGCTCCGGCGGCGCGGCAGCAGCAGGAGGCCCTATTAGCTAAAGTGGTGCTTCAAGTTAAGAACAGTTTCAGATTAAGAACGGACCTCCGGAATGAATTAAGTACTTAACCTGAGGTACCGCTGTATAGTTAAAGCTATGGTTTTCCCAGTGGTGATGTATGGAAGTGGTGATGTATAAAGAAGGCTGATTGCTGAAGAATTGATGCTTTTGAATTATGGTGTTGGAGGAGACTCTTGAGAGTCCCATGGACTGCAAGAAGATCAGACCTATCCATTTTTAAGGAAATCAGCCCTGAGTGCTCACTGGAAGGACAGATCCTGAAGCTGAGACTCCAATACCTTGGCCACCTCATGAGAAGAGAAGACTCCCTGGAAAAGATCCTGATGTTGGGAAAGATGGAGGGCACAAGGAGAAGGGGACAACAGAGGACGAGATGGTTGGACAGTGCTCTCGAAGCTACCAGCATGAGTTTGACCAAACTGTGGGAGGCAGTGGAAGACAGGAGTGCCTGGTGTGCTCTGGTCCATGGGGTCACGAAGAGTTGGACACAACTGAACGACTAAACAACAACATGCTTACTTGTGGAAAATGTTTTTAGGAATGTAACACAGGAAATGCTGGTTAGTCCCCACCCACTTTTCATTTAAAGAGACCCTCTTACCCAATGTAAAGCTTGTCAGAATAGCAATCAGCACTTGAGAGGAAACCAAGATGTATCTCTGATAGGAGGCAGGAGTATGAGATTTCCCTGTTCACACACTGCAGCCAATCAAAAGCCCCGCCTTGGTTTCAGAACGTTTTGGAAGTCGAACGGACTTCCGGAATGGATTCCGTTTGGCTTCCAAGGTACAACTGTATATGTAAGGCATTAAAGAACATGACTTGAGCTGCAGGAGAATTCCAACGGACTGATGAGGTAAGCAGTCTAAGGGGACAGATTAATCTAAGTGAACCGAGCAGCTTAGCTGAAACTGCAAGTTCAGTATTCTAAACTCCAGCTTCATCCTTTTCAGAGCAAAATATACTTCCCCTCTCAACGGTAATGAACCTTGTGCCTTGCAATGTCCCTGGGGTGTGATTATTTCTGAAAACTGCTTCCCTAGTTACATCTTGTTGCATAAATAATCATCTCTTTCATGCGAATGA